TGGATCTTGAAAACATTTTGTTCGGTGTCTGAGTCAGCTCGGGTTGGGGTTTTACACACACACACACACACACACACACACACACACACACACACACACAGACACACAGACAGACAGACACACACACACACACACACACACACACACACACACACACACACACACACTGGAAGTCTGCCACCTGGGTGCCGGCAGAGCTGGTGTCACCGAGGCCTGGCTCCTTGGTGCCCAGCTACCACCAGTACCCTGTCCTCGCATGGTCTTTCCTCTGTGAATCTGCATCTTAATGTCCTTTTCCTATGGCGCTGTTTATTAGAGTACCCACCCTCTTAGTGACCTTACTTAATCACTTCTGTAGAGACCCTGTCTCCATAGAGAGCCACATTCTGAAGTCCCAGGGGTTAGAACTTTGACATAGGAATTTTCTTTTTGGTGTGTGTGTGTGTGTTGCACAATTTAGCTCATAACACACAGGGTGGAGTCAACCAAACACTAAAAATCAAGCCTGGGTGAGAGCAGGCTGGTGAGGGAGCAACCTCCCTCCCCCTGCACTCACACCTCTGCCACGAAGGCCACATGGTTGATGTCATGGGTCGGGGGCTGCTCTGCCTGCCCGTAGCTCCGGGGTCCTCCAGGTGAGCGACTCCATCCCCCCCCCCCCCCCCCCCCCCCCCCCGCAACCACTCAGGAGCTGCGACTCTGACCAATCGACTCTGACTAATCGTGTGAATCAGGCTCTCCACAGCTGCCCTTTAGGGTTGAGCCATTTGCTCTAGTGGTTCCCAGGACTCAGGGAAGGTGACGGTGGTTGTATGCCACTGTGAGTAGACTTAATACAGCTGCTTCTGCACTTAGAAATGATGATAGTGGGACATGTATGTTCTGTACATTTTGCCATGATAGAAAACAACAACATAAACACCTCAAGCTGGGTGCTGGTGGCTCATGCCTGCAATCCTAGCTACTCAGAGACAGACATGTGAGGATCGCAGTTCAAAGCTAGTCCCAATAGGAAATTCTGTGAGGCTCTTACCTCCAGTAAACCACCAGAAAACCGGAAGTGGAGCTGTAGCTCAAACTGATAGAGTGAAGCAAGCTTGAGCAAAAAGAGCCCAAGGACAGTGCCCAGGCCCTGAGTTCAAGCCCCATAACCAACCAGAAACAAAACAAACCAACCAAAAACACCCAAGACTAATAAGAAAGAAGAAGAAAATCCAAGACTATTTCATCCGAGGCTCAGATAGAATTCTGGACCCACGGACTGACGAGGTTCAGCTGGGGTCTGGGGAGGGGGCTGTCCGGTGTACCCCTGCAGGTCCAGCGGTCTGGGGTGAGGTCCCTCCACTCGGCCAGGCCAGGTGCCGGGGACTTTATGTGACAAAGCTGGGACCTTAGATCTCACTTGGAGCCTTGGGACAGAGAGAGCCATCCAGCTAGAGCCCAGGTCCTGTCACTTGCAGATGGAGAGGTGACCAGGGCTGTGTTGGCCAGGAGTCTGAGGTTTCCTGGCTTGGTTGAGATGCTGCATGGAGCTGCTGAGCCGGATTTCACCTCTTCCCCATGGGCGGGCTGTGTCCTGCTCTCTTGGAGCCTCGGTTTCTTCATCTGGAGAATGTTGTTGATTTGCAGGTTAGAAGGCCTCAGAAAGATGGGCAGCTAGGGCACAGGAGTAGCCATGTACCCGGCACTCAGTAGGTATATGACAGACGGCAACGATGCTTCCCTTTCTCAGGACTCATGCCAATGTGCAGTCTTCGAACAGATTTTAGTACCTACCTACTGTGTGCTGGTTCTGTGTTGGGGTGCACGTGATGAATAAGAGTGGCTTCCTGCCCTGTGACATTCGGTTTAGAGAGAAGGAAACAGTTTCTAGACAAGGAGGCATGTGTGTATCATTGTAAGTTGTGATTAGGTCTGTGAAGGAAGAGAAAGGGGCGTTTATGTGTGTGTGTGTGTGTGTGTACTCTCACAAAGCTTAGAGACTCAGGGAGTCCCCTTTAGAGTGGTAACGTAAAGCTGAAACCAAAAGGAGGAGAACACAGCCATATAGATAGCTGAAGCAGAGGGAACGGCATATGCAAAGGCCCTGAGGTCAAACACAGCTAGGCTCTCCAAGGACGGAGAGGAGCTCACTGCTTGTGCAGGGCTTTGGGTTGTGGACTGTGAGGTTGAGAGGACTCTAGAGCCAGGTCATGCGGGAACTCTGCAGCCACACTGGGCACCGTCTGGCTGCTGTCTGGAGCTCTTAGACCCTCTCCTCCTGGCACCTCGCTGGGGACCATGGTGTTGGCATCGTGCCCGGGGACTCTTGAAGTTGAGAGCCTACTCGAGGTGTGGGCTGATGAATGCCAGGCGTGGGTTCTTGGGTCTGGGAACACCCTCAAACCCAGCCACATCCCAGACAGAGGTCACTGCTCCACTGTGGTGCTGGGAAGACTGAGACCGCCAGGATCTCAGTTTCTCCATCTATGAAAGCTATCAAGTGAGTCCCAGTGCAGGCTGGGTACTGAGGCACGAAGAATTCAGCACAGGGCTGCCTCCCACCTCTGGGCCCTCTCGAGCCTCCTGGGAATGTCTCTCAGCCCCCTCTGGGTTCACATCCTGCTCCTTGTTGCCCAAACTCGTTTCCTCCTCTGCCCAGAGGGAGCGTAATCCTGGCATTCGTGGCGTCGGGGGTGACATGGGTGGGTTTGTGGTGGCTTGGGCCCCGGGAGTCCCTCATCTAGAGACCGTTGGCGGTACATGCTCCTGGAGGAAGCTGCCTGCCCGAGGCTGTTGCGTGGGTCTGAGTCTGGCACCCTGTGCTCCAGTCCTGGAGGCAAACGAATGGCAGGGTGGGCACGTAGACCCCCGTCGACCCCTGGGGCTGCGCTTCTGCAGAGCAGGCTGCCCCACCGGGCCCCCAGGGGTCAGTGGAGGACAGGGACTGCCGGTGCCAGGTGTCTGGGACAGGGGCCCTGGTGCCGCCTGGCGTGATCCAGGCTCCTGAGAGGTGGTGTGTGTGTGTGTGTTGGGGGGGAACAGGGCTCTGGAGGGAAGAAGAGGGAGCCTTTTAAGGAAGCATTTCTCTGCTTTAGAAAAACAAAACAAAACATAGAAAGGAAGACAGGAGGCTGAAACACGACTGAGTCCGTGGGCCAGTTTTGGGCTGGCCTGAAATGCGTGCTGAGGGTACAGGGCATGACTGCTGTACCCCCTGACCCCCCAGTCAGATCCAGGCTCCTGGGGGTCAGGCAAGGGGCTCAGGGGCTGAGCCCCCTAGGGGCCTCCTTCCCACGGCGTTAGCCTGCCCACGCTGCGCACCTCCTAATGCGACTTCCTCCTCCCCCACCCCACTGTCTCAGTCCACGTGTCTCGTGTCCACGGGGAGGTGCGGGGGGGGGGGAGGGTGTCCTAGGGGCCATGATGGGAAGCCATACTGTGCCCAGCACGGACAGCAGTGTCCCCTGTGGCTCTGACCTTGTTTGGTGAGCCGGGCAGGCAGCGTGCCCTGCAGGCTACAGGCAGGTCTGGGAACCTGCTGTTCCCTCACGGACAGGGAGATCCCTTTAGGGTCTCCCTGTGCCTTGTAAATCAGCCCCTCTGAGCTCCAGACTTGTGGATCTAGAGCCGTGGGCTTCAGAAGCAGCTCCTGTGTCTCCTCACTCCTAAACACAAGGCTGAGAGTGGCAAGGTCCCTTCATGTTTGGAGCATCAGAATGCTCAGCCTCTTGGAAGCTGTGTGACCTTGGGGAAATTGTTTAACTTCTCTGTGCCCCACACTATGTCTTCCTTGTTGGGTTGTTGAAAGCATTCATGACTTAACCTATGTGAAACATTCAGAAAAGTGCCGGTTGCTTAGTACACGTTCATCAGTGTTAGGTATGGTGTGTGTGTGTGTGTGTGTGTGTGTGTGTGTGTGTGTGTGTGTGTGTGTGTGTGTGTGTGTGTGTGTGTGTGTGTGTGTGTGCGCACGTGTAGTTGCCTCCTCGAAGCCTCTCCCCCTCACCCCATGCTTCCTCTCTGTCCCCTTGTGGGTCTCTGGCCTGGTGTCTGGGTGGAGAATTAACACCAAGGTTGACCATTGAGCTTTAAGAAAAACTTGCCTTGGCTAGAAAAGGAGCACAGAGAGTCGGACCAGTGCCTCCAGTGATTGTTGGGGTGTCCTGAGCTGTCATGTCATGAGCTTCCTTCCTTCCTTCTCATCCTCCTTTCCCCTCTCCTTCCCTCCCTTGTGTCTGTTTGAGCAGAGCTTGAACTCAGGGCCTGGGCGCTGTCTCTGAGCTTCTTTGGCTCAGGCCTCATATTCTGCCACTTGAGCAATAGCACCACTTCCAGCCTTTCATGAGTCTATTGGAGATGAGAATCTTACAGACTTTCCTGCCTGGGCTGGCTTTGAACCCTGATCCTCAAACCTCAGCCTCCTGAGTAGCTAGGATTACAGGCGTAAGCCACCAGTGCCCAGCTAAGGTCTCCTATGGTTGCTTGGCTTTTTTTTTTTTCTCAAGGCTGGGGCTGAATCACTTGAGCCACGTCTTTACTTCTGGCTTTTTGCTGGTTAATTGGAGGTGAGTCTCTCAGTTTGTCTGCCCCAGCTGGCTTTGAACGTTGGTCCTCAGATCAGCCTCCAGAATAGCTGGTATTACAGGCGTGAGCCACAGGTACCTGGATCTTCTGTCGTAATTCCAGGCGTGGGGAAAGGAGGTAGGAGGGTTGGAAGAATGAGGTTTGAGGCAGTGTCAAAAACAAAACCTTGCGAGTAATGTTGACCTCAAATCAGTGTCTGATCCCTTTTGCAGGATTTGAATTCTGATGTGCGTTTCGTGTGTGGTCTGTGCCTCCTTCGTGGCTTAGTAACACTGTCTGTGTCGGCGGGCTTCTGAAGAGCCCTAGGGGCTCAGGGCTGGCTGCGGGAGGGGGGGAGGACGGGGAGGGGGGACTGTCCTTCATGGGGGTGGGAGTGGCTCAGGCCTCAGAGGCCTGGGAGAGATGCTGACCGCCTGTCTCTGCTCCTCCCACAGGTGGCTGCCCCGTGTGTTCCTCCGTCCAGCCATGAACTGGTGGTGAGTGATGGGCCGTGTCTCCCCCTGCTGACTCCTTGCTTTGGACCCAACTAGACGAGGCGGGGTGGAGGAGGGTCCTCCATTCCTGGGCTGAAGCTGGATGGGAGGAAATGAGTCACGAGGTTCTCTTGGATGAGACATAGGGCCTGCTCTTTATAAGACACGGAGGCCTTGGAAACCCCCATAAAAGGCCATCGTGCGTCTCGAGGCCTGGCCGGCAGACAGGGTTGAGAGGCCCGTGCCCTGGGCGTCTCCCTCCACCTGTCTTCCTCCAGGTCAGGCGTCCTTGGGTGGGGAGTCCGTCCACCTGGTTCGTTCCTGCGTCCAAGCTGGGCTCTGCTTTCCTGCTGTCTCTCGCCACACCCCACACAGGCTTCCAGAAGGGCCTGGATGGGGCAGGACCCCCTGTGAGGTGTGGGCTGCAGAGAGACCTCTGCTCAGACACATCCCAGCTGGGCTCGCTGAGTGTGTCAGCTGCCTCCCCTGAGCCCTCCTCCTCTCCCCTCAACTGGAGGGGGGGGGGCAGACCTTGGGGGGAGGGGGGCTGCCTGGGAGGGGTCTGCACATCTGCGTGTGCACATGCGTGTGCCTGTGCCGGGTGGTGTGTCACAGAGGAGTGTTTGGAGGCGCAATCTGATAGGCTGTAGCGGGGGGGGGGGGGAATGGCGGGGTAGAAACAAGGACACAAGTGCTTTTAGGCCCCAGACTCCAGGCGGGCCCAGGACACTGTCCTCACTCTGCTCCCTGGCCAGGCCCTGCCCTGTGTTGACTTCTCCGTAGAGCCCAGTCCTCCTCTTGGGCCTCAGCTGCCCAGAGGTGCATTCCAGCTGTGGAGTCTTAGCTACATGGAGCCCTGTTGAGGGTCATGGGGTAAAGAAGAGCAGGGTAGGGGCTGAGCAGTCTGGCTGAGAACTAGCGGGAGGGAGAGGGAGGGAGAGAAGGGGAGAAAGGAGGGAGGGAGAGAGGTATCTGTGGGGTCACAGCTGGCTGCTGGGAGCGGGGAGTCGCTCTGTGATTCTGCAGAGCTACCTACCACCTTGTGACCCTGGAATGGAATGTCCTTGGCTGGTTTGGGAGGCGGAAGGGTCCAGGGGTTCGTGACCACTGGGCAGAGGCCAGATTCTGGCGCCTGAGTCTGGGGAGGCTTGTTTATGGAGGCAAGGTCACAGGTCAGGACGAGAGGGCAGAGGCTGGCATTCCACAGGAGGGCCTGCGGCTTGTTAGCATCCAGAAACACTCTCGCCCGCCCAAGTCGGGTCATGGAGGCTTGGCCTGTCTGTGACATGTTCCACCCGTGCAGGGGGCTCTGCCTGGCCCGGGAGATGGACGAGGGACAAAGCAGCTGCTGGGAGACACCTGGATTTGACTGTGTTCCTAAAGCTTCTTTCCCCGATGCAGAACCTGCCTCCCCAACTTTAGTTAGCGTCTGGGAAATCCCTCCTTCTGCGTCCCTGCTGCTCTATCCTCTATGTTCAGCTGCGTGATGCTGAGCCCATTGCCTGGCGTCTCTGATCATCCACAGTTTCCCTTCTTCAGAATGGGAGCTGGTAATAGTACCTACCTTGTAAAGTTGTCAAAAGAATGAAATGAGTGCAAGGCATAGTGGCAAATGCCTGTAATCCCAGCTACTTGGGAGGCAGAGGTGAGGGGGAGTAAAGTTTGGCCTGGGGCAAAAGTGAATAAAAGAAAGCAAACTAAGTAGGGTGCTTAGCTTGTGGCTAAACTTAGCTTGTAGCTGAGTGGCTCACACCTGTAATCCTAGCTACTCAGGAAATCAGATCTGAGAATTGTGGTTCGAAGCCAGCTGGGGTAGGAAAGTCGGTGAGACTGTTATTTTGAATTTAAAAGGATGAAAGCAAGCTCAAACTATCTGCAAAAGGACCGAGAGCGTAGCCTGAGTGGTAGAGTGCTTGCCCAACTAGTTAAGTCAAAATCCAGAGACCAATCCCCAGTACTTATCAAGAAAACAAAAAAGAAAGACTAGAGAAGAAAGCAAATGAATTCACTGTATCTATGTTCAAAAGCTTCTCACCTCACGTAGAGTAAACCCCTAGGTTTCCTTTCTTACCCCGTCTCTTTCTAAAGGCTGTCTCTGTTCTAGCTACCTAGCCTTCTTGCTGATCTTACAGTGTAGCGGGCACAAGGCTGCTACCTCCGGACTTCTGCACCTGCTGGTCTCTAGTCCACACTTCCTGTGGATTCTAGGGAGGCTTTTGCCACTGCCAACATTTCCCTCCCCCAGCCAGCCTATCTCCCTATCCTTGCCCTTCCTCTTCCCCTTAGTACTTATCCCTCCAGTGCCCTGTATGCTTTGCTTATTTTTATCTCCTATAAGGGGTTGTGTCCACACGAACACATCAAACTCCTTTAGGATTAGGGGATTTTGTTTTTTTTTTATCATATTATTATTATTATTTGACTTCTTGCTGTCTACTGTCTTGTACACAGTAGGTGCTCAGACATGTTATCCGAGCGTCTGGGAGGAAGGTGTCCAGGTCTGATGTCTGGCTTGGCAAATGATTCACAGCGGTCTAGGGTCTGTGCCTGGGCTGGAAGCACAGGGGAGAGTGTGCCCCTCCCCCCAGCACTCAGGGGAAAGTGTGGCTCCCCCACCCCCACCCCTAGTGCGCTCAGCACCTGTTTCCTCACTACCCACTCTGTGGCAAGTGCTTATAGCAGGTTCACAAGAGGGAGGAAGGGCGGGTTTGTATTTTTCCTTCCTTTTCCATCTCTGCTTGCCCTTGAGCCTGACTGGGCAGGCCTCTGCTCCCCTCCCCCTCCCTCCCTCTCTCCCTCCCCCCTCGCTGTCTATCCATTTCCTGTGACCTCTCACAGTGAGGTCCAGACTCCCCATAGGTGGGCCTCACTGACCTTGCTGAATCCCTTGCATTCGAATCCTTCATTTTGGACCCAGAATCTCTGCCCAGTGCCAGGCCCTGCTACCCAAACATATTTTCCAGCCAGTGCCCAGCCGGCCAGGGAGGGTAGCAGGGCTTAATCTTCAACCAGGGTGTTCATCTGACTCAACAGATGTTGCCTAAGAGCTTGGCATTGGGCAGAAGGGTCCCGGGGCTTCCCTCCCTCCCCCAAGGGAGGCTAGGGGTCAGGATGGAGGGGAGAGGGCTAGCGACGGGCTGAAGTAGCTTTTCTCAGCGGCTGAAATAAAAAACAAAACCAGTCCCAGCAATTTCCAGATGACCATAGCCAACTGGAGTAGATACCACGGTAGCCCCAAGGCTGGGGTACCCAGGACAGGCAGGAGAGCAGGCAAGCTCTTGAGATGGACTTGAGATGGAAGTTGAGACAGGAAGCTGATTGGGGGAAGGGAGAGTATGAGGGGAGATGGGAGGGAGGTTGGGGGAGGAGAGACCCTTACCCCTCTCACCCCCCCCACCCCCACCTTGTCCAAGTTTCACTTTGCTTCTGCTGTGTTCAGTTACTGGAGGTCTGAAAATCTTAAGTGGAAAATTCCAGCAATAAATAAGCAATTCAGAAGTTGTGTGTGTGTGTGTGTGTGTGTGTGTGTGTGTGTGTGTGTGTGGTTCTGAGTAGCAGTGATGAAATCTTACGTTTGGTTCTGTCCTGCCAGAGGTGAGTGTGGCCCCTTTCCCCCAGCGCATCCAAACCCACTGTGCCACCCACCCGCCGGTCAGCTGCTCACCATGGTTGAATCTACTGTGGTGGAATCTCAGGGCTGTGGGGCCCGGTAGCTTTGATTTTATTTCACAGTGGTCCAAAGTGCACAAAGTGTGATCCTGGCAATGTGGATTCGCCACAGAGAGCCTCAGACCAGTGAAAGGGCAGAAGTCCTCCCTGTGTATTCAGGATTCAGACTGGTCTGTGGGGGGCCGGAGTCCGAGGAGGGCTTGGAACTTTCGCTTGTGGATGGGGCTACCATGTGAGCAATGGAGAAAAGCTTTACAAAAATGAGCCCCCCTCTCCCTCTTTTATTTGGCCAGTCCTGAGGCTTGAACTCAGGGGCTGGGCACTGTCTCTGAGCTCCTTTTGTTGAAGGCTAGCACTCTACCACTTGAGTCACAGTGTCACTTCCTGCTTTTTCTGTGATTCAATTGGAAATAAGAGTCTCATAGACTTTCCTGGCCCTGGTTGGCTTTGAACATTGATCCTCAGATCTCAGCCTTCTGAGTAGGTAGGATTACAGGTGTGAGCTACCGGCACCCAGCCTAAAATGAGCTCTTTATTCATACCACATAGTCCTAGAAAGAGGGACTGTGCTATGTTCTTATGAAGAGCAGAGGCCAAAGGCCAAGAGCTGCTACCAAAGAGGGTTGTAGCATAGTGGTAAAGTGCTTAGGCCTAGCAAGCACAAGGCCTTGGGTTCAAGCCTCAGCACTACAAAAGGAAGACTGGGATTTCAACTCAGTCATCTGATACCTGAGTCCTCTCTATCAGTCCCTCTAACTGGCTAGCCCTCTGAGCAGCAGACACTTCCTGGACTCTGCAGTGGGCCAGCCCCTCTTCTGTTCCAAGCCTAACCCTGAAGTGTTTCCTCCTACCACTTCCTAAGATTGCCCTTTTAAGTTAGTGGCCCTAGAAAATTTCCTTTATTTTTCAGATAGGGTCTTTTTTTTTTTTTTGCCTAGGCTGGTCTAGGACTACCTCCACCTCCCATGGGGCCGGGATTTCAGGTGTGCACTACCAGGCCCAGCTTGTTTCATGAAATAGAGGTTGTTACTAACTTGTTTTGTTTTGTTTTGCCAGAACTAACCTTGATCGCTGCCTCCTGAGTAGCAGGGATTATAGGTGTAAGCTTCCCGAAGAATACTTTTTTCCTCAGTTTTAATTATTTTAAGAATTGTTATCATAAAGGTGAGATACAGAGAGGTTACGGTTACAGAAGATGGGTAATGAGGACTTTACTTTTTGGATCAAAGAATATTTTTTTAATGAGGAAAAAAGAAAAAGCTGAACTCCAAAGTAGAACTTGGCAGTTGAAGTTGTTAAAGAAGGGAACTTTCTAACATGTACTTGCTGGGGGC